TAAATTTAATAATAATAACAACAACGACAACAATTAACCTTTAATAAAAATTATTATTATTGTTCGCTAATCCTTTATCGAAGTGAGGGGATGAGGCCGAGTCACACCGAACCCTCTTGTTCGATATTTTAACAATAATTTCCGTAAAACCCTTAAACGCATCACGAGTGCGCTGAAGGAAACGCCCTTTGGGTGGACTCACAAAATGTTCCTCCGTTTTGCGACTTTAACAACGTACCGGCGCGTATTAACTTTGTAACCTTCTTCTACTACCCATGTATTTATGTAGGGTAGGTGTAATTTGAAGTCTATATACTAAAAGAGGTACAAATGACCCCCAAACGCTGGGTGCTTTGTGCCTAACTGTTTATTCGCTGAATCCCTGCACATCATCATGATCTTGTTGCTGCTTCTAGTTGCCAGTCTTGGTGTTGGTAAGTAAGGAAGCTCATTTCCACGTTAGTAAAGCAGCTTAAATAATGCTGAACTCTGGGACTCAGCATCAGTGCTCAGCATCACCCTTTATTATTGTATTTAAGTGCAATTTTCTTAACTCCGATAACACGGTATAATTATGAACATGTCAATGTAAATATGCCAGAATTAGCAAAAATAATTTGCAATAATAACATGCATTAATAATTTTTCTCTCCTCTCCAGGCCTTGCAAATGTTGAAAATTATGAAGTGGAGTATGGAAACAGATTCAGGATGAGGGTGTCAAGAAGGGTTCACTTTATCGAGTTCATCCCCAAGAACAAATCAGAAGGGACGATCTTGTGGGAACGTGACGAAGATCAGCCCAAAGAGGGCAGTAGATGGAAGATGACTGAGACCTCATATACCATCAGTTCTTTAGCCCAAAAAGACAGTGGCCGCTACATATTCAAAGACAACCATGGGGAATTGATGCATGCGAAGATCATTGACGTAAAAGGTGTGGATCTTTTTAGTCCTTGATTTATCTAATGTTTTTTTCTTTTTCTACAAGTGTGCTAAACTTTTACCACAAGCCTATAGTTAGATTGACCTACAAAACAATGAGAGCGTAACACTAACAGCATATTTAAAGTCTCTAAAGCCAAACTGCGGTATATAACATATATGCTTTTAGTTAAGTCATATAGCTGTATACTCTGTAAACTGGATTTTATAAAGTCCACCAGAGCAATGCAAATCTAAAGCTCAATAAAGGACATATGGGTTGGTTCGTTTTAACCCTTTTTAAAAGGACAGGTTCTGGTTTTATGGAGATTCTCACAGCTCATCTTCAGAAGCATCATACACGACAGTAACTTAATTTTCCTTAAATCGGACACAAACCCCCCCAAAGAACTTACACCAGGAACCAAGACAAAGTGGAACACATCATATACTTAAAAACCCCGTCCACTGCAGGGGAAATCACGATGTGCAACTGAGGGGGAAACGCTGATAAAAGTCCTATAGACACCCTACAATGAGTTGAAATATTAACTTGTTATTTATTTCTCCATATGTAATTTTTGTCATTTGTATTGTGTCACTTTGTATGTCCCTCACGATTTCTCGTCGTCAACCCCTCCCCTAGAGCTGCCCCTGCTTCCTACAGATTCCTCATACATTAGTGCATTAACTTAAAAATCACTTTAATATTTTCTTTATCAGAGGTCACAAAGAGCTATACCCTGGAGACTAATGAAGTCCTGGACGTCACTTTTGATCTGGAACCGCACTCCTGCAACATTTACTTCTTCCCTGGTGAAAACAGTAAGACTGCAATAGTCCTTAAGGGCAGGCTGCAGCATGATCTGAAACAAGTGGATTGCGTGGGGTTTGAGCTTTTAAAGCCATGTGGGATTGTACACAGGGCCATCCAAAAGACATGCAGGGGACGGTTTGAAGTCAGAGATGATAATGATGACAAAGCCTTGGTAGTGTTCCTGGAAATGGAAGGTAAATAAACTAAGATCATTTTCATTATACAGTATAGTTTGCTTTGGGCTGATTAACGAACTTCGTTTCAGAGCCACAGTTCAGTCAGGCTTACCTCGGTATTGGTGGTGGTGCGTTGTTCTTCACACTGTGCTGGTGTTGCTGCAAGTACTGCTGTTGTGGTGAGAGCTCCTCAGCAAAGGACAACTCAGAAGAAGCTGCAGAGAATGATAGCGAGCCTGCTGTGTATTACCATGAGGTGAACATGTTCTGCTATTTTTTTTGCTTTTTGTGTATTTATTTTTTTTTAGTTGTGTTTATATTGTCTGTTTAAATCGAACTGCAGTTTGAGCCTGTGGGTCCGGGATCAAACCAGCGCTGTGAACTCTCTAATCCACCCAACACTGATGAGGCTCCTGATGCTCCAGTTGACCCGCTGGTTAGTGTATGAACTCAACTCCTGAGCCATTTTTATTCTCCTCTCTTTCCTGCTATTAATGTGTGTTGTTGAACTCTGCAGATACACAGTTCTGCTGCTATGGAGGCTCCACCTGCTTATTGTGAGGTAAGACCTAAGTACATGTTCAATGCAGTTTTGAAACTTCTTTAAACTTAGAAACGAGACTTGGTTTAAAGGCTAAATGTGCAGTGACACGTCTGTCTTTTTCCTCCAGGTTACACCGCCGGCGAAGCAGGAAGAGGCTCCAACCATCACTCCCACCTCCGACCCTGAGCCACGGTTTGAATTGAAGGGGACAATTTTCAATTCTGGTCCGCCACTCAGCTCAGCCTCAACGTACTGTGATGTTTATACCTCAGAAAAATTCAACTTCTTCTAAAAGTCTTGATTTTGAACTGTGTTCTTTAGTATGGTGACGAAGGGATAATTTGACATTTCAGGGAATAGGATTGCCTGACATCTTTGAGCCAAGAAAAAAAAATTGTTTTGTAACCACTGGTAAATTTACAAATTTATGTTTCTACAGATAGTTTTTTATGGATAAAAAAAACCTTTAGAACCAAAAACATTTTGAAGCTTGTGTCTTCACTGCTGCCTGCTGTGGTTCCATATTTATCAAGGAGAAAGAAAATATGTGTTTTCAGATCTTCCTCTGTCTTTTTGTTTTTTATGTTGTGATTTTTAAGGGATACTGCACATTAATTAACACTACTGTAAATAAATTTTTCTGTTCTCTATAGTTCTGTCAGGAATACGTTCTGCATTACAGACCACTGTGAATGTGATATTTTCAGGGATGATATATGTAGTAGACACGCTGCAATAACTTTAAAACTGAGGTTTTACAGTTAAATGTGGAATCTGAGTCATAATAACTTAAATAAGGGAACTGTTTTTAGCTCCTGAGAAACATGCATTCACAGTTTGTATGAAATGTGAGACTGCTAATGAAGACGCTTATTTTAGACTTTTTTGTTATTGTTGCTTGTATGAAGAGTTCATATCTTAGTATTTAATCATATCTTGTACACAAAAAGCAAACTTAGAAATGCAAGGGCCATCAATATGGAAATATTTCTATGCCTTACCAAAGACCTACCCTCCTGACATGTGGTTTATGTTTTGCTTTTATATATTTGATGTATTTGTGTCCATATGTGGGAACTTTTGATCTGTCACATTTAGTTACAAGTGCAATACCCCTTCATCCTGTGAAAGTACTGTCGATTGTGTGTATTGTGTGTATGTTATTTCAGCACTTTCTGAGAAGACTATATGCTGTAAAACCTTTTAAAAAACCCTTAAGGACATATCAGCATGTATTTAGACATCTGTTACATTAAAGCTAGCATTATCCTACCTCTACAACTTGTTTGGTATTTGCATTTGTTCCCCTGCACAGTTTACCTTCACTAATACTTAAAGCACCTCCAACAGTGTCACCAGAGAGCCAAAAGCTCATCCAAGCACATAAATTCCTTTCTGCCATAGCAGCTGGTTCACAGAAGACAGGAAGCAGAGCAGGACTCAAACTACAACTGAGGCTTTTCTGTCTTGAGAAGAAAAACAACAGAACCTCAGACCTGTCTGACACGCACAACAAGTAGTCCTGTGTAGAGACATTTAAAAAGGTTTATAAGCTCATACTTTAAGAACTGGAGTATGCGTTCAAACTAACTTTGTAATAGCAGAAGAAACACACAAAATAAAACTCTAAGCACTAAAACCTCATGTGACTCATTTAATTTCTTAAAGTTACTTAAAATTAATATGTTTTTGTTTAGCCTTTTTCCACAATAATTGGCAATCTCTGTGTAGATTATATCAGAGACGTGGGAATCCTAGGCTATAGTATGTATGCTATTGTATAACAAAAATGTGAAAATATCCACTTCCATTCTTTCACAGCTTGAGTTAGGGTTTGTTTTGCTTTTGTTTTTGGGGAAGTGTAACAAGAAGATTTTCTTTTAAGTGACTAAGAAAAGTTTGGAGGGAGTTGCAAAATCTGCATTTATCTGTGTTTTGGACACCTGGTGAACATATGCCCAATATTTAACGCTCTCTAAATTCTGTTAAGGGAAACAGCTGGCTCTTTAGGTGCTCTAAAGTGTTCATAAGCTAGCTGCTGAATCGGTTTGCCATTTCTGTATAATTAAGTGAAGTTGTGGCCTGGGAAATCCAAATGCATAAAAAGGGTTGCAGAGCTGTGAGAGGAAGAGCTGGTGTCTAATTCTTGCTTTATCCTTTTAATCTTTTAAAAGAAATTCATTGTAGACACATTTAGCTGCAACACTCTATCAGTTTCCTCCTTTTTTTCACTGATGTGGTGAGAAAAAAAAGGTTGATTTCACAATAGAATTGTATCTGGGCTGCTTGGCACTCCACCAAAGAACAGCGTAGGAGGATTTTGACTATTGATGGTGAAGGGGAACAAGAAGAAGTGATAGTTTCGGCACTGAGGTCAGGTTGCTCCATTCCCTTGATGTGGCAGTGGGGGTGGGAGATTGGTGGTAAGAACCCAAAGGATTAAAAAGCTTCCAGATGACAGAGCCGTTGGGACCCAGCCTGGCAGATGGGAGTGAAGAGGCATGGCTGTAGCTAATTGAACATAAGTCATCAAATATAAGATGTGTTGCTTGATGCTTGTGCTTATGAAGCCTAATCTAAGATACCATCAGTGCATGGAAGGTTCTCAATCAGGATAGCTGCATGATTACGCTGGGTTACGCTGGTCTGGCAGTTGGTCAACCACTTCAGCCCAGACTAAAATATCAGTTGGATTGGCTGCTGTAATGGACTTTCCCTTAGTGATACCAGAAGGTCAAAGATTTTACTTTTGCATCTCAATGGTTCACCATTCATCATTCTTTGATGGTTGACCCCCAGGAATGTGTACCAAAGGAACAGAATACTTTGCTTTTTTGCACAGTACTTGCAAAGGAAACAACATTTCCATTTAGCTCAGTTGTCACTGTGGAAACTGTGGTCATGGTAAGCAGCTGGCTGAAATGCACACAGAGTTTGCATGACTGAAGCTTTTCTCTTTGAACTGAAAATTTTGTAAAATATTTTATTGTGTTTGAAATGGTGCAACAGACAGGGCAGAAAAGGACTGTTATGATCTCATTTATGGAATTATTTCCTGTATGCACAGTCATTTTTTTCTTGTGTAGCCTTTCAATACATTTTGTTTGTCATAGTAAACAAGTTTTCATGTGGCTTGATTGCAGACGAAAAGAGCATTTTTGATTAAAAATCCCAGAGATTACTTTATTACCCATACCTCACACAAACAGGCTGACAGAAATCAGTTACTATTTTTCTTAACTTGCATTGCCATCACCTTTGTCCATCTTAACTCCTGTCTGCCTTTTCTCATCACTACTCCTTTTTCTTACTCTCTACTGCGTTCACTCGGCCTTCCAGGCGCCTCAGTCGATCCTCCACAACAAAAGACTTTTCAGAGCTCGAAGTGAGCAGCGTCAAAAAGACGCATACCAGCACTAAGCCAGCCAGTCGAACTGCCGTGGTGTCTGCGGACGCTTGCTTATCAGTCACTATCAGTCCAAAAAACCAGAGTCCCAAGACAGTTTTGATAATCCAGAAGACCTGCTTTATCACACCAATCAGCAGACGCAGACAGATGGACAGCAACCAGTAGCCAATGAGGGCCACCAGACCCCACTGGGCGACGGCTGTCACACCCTCTGGAGTGAAGTGGGGCAGTTTCAGTGTAGCTGTGGAGGGAGGAAATCCAGCTTAGCCGTGTTGTTAAAAAGAATAAAGCTTGAAAATACTTTCTGTTACACAGGAAGCAACAAGAGCAAACACTTACAATTAAAAAGGAGTGGCTTACAAATTGCCC